GTTTATTTTTCAATCGTTGTTCATTCTTACGCATTCTCTCTCTCTCTCATTCTCTCTCTCTCTCTCTCTCTCTCTCTCTCTCTCTCTCTCTCTCTCTCTCTCTCTCTCCTCTCTCTCTCTCCTCTCTCTCTCCTCTCTCTCTCTCTCTCTCTCTCTCCTTTATTCTTGTCCAGGTTCAACGTAATTCCATATTTATTCTCTTTTTACGCCCTTCATTATATTCCCATATTTTTGCTTCCCACTCGGTCCTGGCTGGGCTCACTTCCTGGGCTCACTTCCTGGGCTCGTTTCCTGGGCTCACTTTCTAGGCTCACTTCCTGGGTTCATTTCCTGGGCTCATTTCCTGGGCTCACTTCCTGGGCTCGTTTCCTGGGCTCACTTCCTAGGCTCACTTACTGAGTTCATTTCCTGGGTTCATTTCCTGGGCTCACTTCCTGAGCTCACTTCATGGTGGAAAGTGCCAGGTTGTGCTAGCTGCCAGAACTCCCAAGGATTGCGACCACTCTCCCTTGATCCCAGTGATCCTTTTAAGCTCACTTGGCTGGTCCCTTGATCCAGGACGTATCCTGTAGGGCCCCACACACACACATACTCGCGGGGGACCACATTCTCTTACCGGGGGCCCACCACATGCACTCACCCCGGGAGGTCCCACACACACATACTCACCCGGGGGGCCCCCACACACACTCACCCAGGGGGCCCCACACACACACTCAACCCGGAGGGCCCCACACACACTCACCCAGGGGGCCCCACACACACACTGTATAATTGGCATTTGTTGCTCACTGTGCCCGTCACCCACCCGACACCCACTCGTCACCCACCCGACACCCACTCGTCACCCACCCGTCACCCACTCGTCACCCACCCGTCATTCACCCGTCCACCATCCGTCACCCACCCGTCACCACCCGTAACCCACCCGTCACCCACCCGTAACCCACCCGTCATTCACCGTCCCCACCCGTCACCCACCCGTCACCCACCGTAACCCACCCGTCACCCACCCGTCACCCACCCGTAACCCACCCGTAACCCACCCGTCACCACCCGTAACCCACCCGTAACCCACCCGTCACCCACCCGTCACCCACCCGTCACCCACCCGTCACCCACCCGTCACCCCACCCGTCACCCACCCGTCACCCACCGTCACCCACCCGTCACCCCACCCGTCACCCACCCGTCACCCACCCGTCACCCACCCGTCACCCACCCGTCACCCACCCGTCACCCGCCCGTCACCCACTCAGTGTAACTCTTCGTTTTATTCTTCAATAGAGCTTCACGGAGACTGGCCAGAGCTCCACGGGGACTCACCAGAGCTCCACGGGGACAAACCAGAGCTCCACGGGGACTCACCAGAGCTCCACAGGGACTCCCCAGAGCTCCACGGGGACTTGACAGAGGACGGGAAGCTGAACAGCGGTACTTGGCAGGGAGAGATGCTCATTCGCTTACACTCCTTAACGGTCAATAAAAGCGGTTTTACTGGCAGTGCTGCTGTTGTTACAGGAGTGATTCCACAACTTGGTAAAAATACTCAGTATGAGGACGGTAGACTCTTGAGAGCGAAACTCACTCACACTCATATGTTTTGTTGCTGTTGGTGTCTCTGAAGAGTTTTTTTTTTTTCATGTCGACACCTTTTGCATCTCTTCCTCGTCTCTTGCTCTCTCTGTCTCTCTCTCTCTCTCTCTCTCTCTCTCTCTCTCTCTCTCTCTCTCTCTCTCTCTCTCTCTCTCTCTCTCTCTCTCTCTCTCCTCTCTCTCTCTCTCTCTCTCTCTTCCTTACGTTCACTATCGATTTAAAACTGTCATGAGATCGTTCATTTTCATTGTATTATACCTCAGTCTTAGGGGGTTGGTCACTCTCACACTCCACCTGTATGTAGCCACACATGCTTCTAAGTCTGTCTAACACATATGTCCCTAAGTTGGTCTAACACATATGTCCCTAAGTTGGTCTAACACACTTGTTCCTAAGTTAATATAACACACATGCTTCTAAATTTGTCTAACACACATGTTCCTCAGTTGGTCTAACACACACATGTTCCTCAGTTGGTCTAACATATGTTTCTAAGACTGTCTATTCAGCCGTCTAACACCACATCTACTTCTCACATTTTGTATCTGTCAGTCATTCACGCACACACACACACACACACACACACACAGTTCCAGTCTCTCCATACATTAGTTTCCAGTACTAAGTTCTCTCTGTAAATAAACAAACTCGTATCCAGGTTTTCATCGTCATGGAAACGGACAAGAATTTGTTAAAATTAGCTTTAGAAGGGCTTGCTTAGGTGTGGTTCTGAGAACCTTAGTGAGGATTTCTGAGGATCCTATTGTGTACTTCTATGGACCTTAGTGTAGACTTCTGTGGACCTTTGTGTGGACTTCTGAGGCCCTTAGTGTGAACTTGAGTCATTCTGCCACACACTCGTTTATCACACTGCCTTCCTCTCGCTATTTCTCTGCCACTCTCGCAGTGTCTTATCCAGATGTTTATAATATCTATCGTTATTTCCCTCGTTTATAGACACCTACATGTATGATCTTCCTGCTGATTCACCAGCTGTCTTCCCCCAGTCACCAGCAGAATATAAACTCATCCCGCGAGTTGTTGCAGCTGCTGCTCCAATTGTTTCCAGTGTTTCTTGTCGTACTCCAAACTGAGCAACAATCGGCCACAGTTATCCCAGCTCCTTCAAACTCACCAGCTCTTGCTGCCTACTTCTTCCTACTCCAGGAGTGTGAGAGAGCTTCAACTCTAGTGCTTGCTCTCCTCTTCTGGCTTCGGAGTGTAAGAGCTCTAACCACGAGTGTAAAAAAGGCTTAAGCTACAGCTCACTGCCTGTCCTACCTGGACGACGGTAAAAGGTTCAACTTTCTACTCCGGTACTTGGTCTCCACCGTCCACAAGTGTGAGAGAGCTACACAACACACGCTGCTACACGGGCAATCATCACGACTTCCTCTGACATATACCATGACCCTCCAGTGCCAAGCGGACGTCATCCCAATCCCAGTCCACTTATGTATCGCCGCCCACCAATAATTTGCATTGCAAATTGTTATACAATAAGACCGGGAGGAAGCCTGACTGCGAGAGTAGTCTGTGTGTAGCGATTAGCAGAGGGAGGACCAAGCCTCCACTACTACTTTCCCTTAACGACTCTAGCAAGTGTAGCTCTCTACGTAAATATGATAATGATGTACGTTAAGCTAGTAGTCTCGTGCCAGTGGTGCTATCTGGGTTATACTACACTGTCGCTTCAAGATCGGCAGTGTAAACAAGGGATAGTAATGACTATTATTCCTTCAGATCTTTCTTGCTTCCCACGATACACGGCTCTCATGGCGGACAGACATAATGAATGATAAAGTATGACCACAAGACAGAGAGTAAAGTGCAAATCCAGTGCTGTGACCACAAGACAACAAAATAAATATAGGGAAGAAACGGTGGTGGAACTACGACGCCAAGACTGCAGGTTTTAATGTCGTTTGAGAAAATATCTGCCCATACCTGGCAGGTCCTTCTCAAACCCAAACCCACTAGCAAAAATATTCGCCTAAAAATATTCATCTAAATTAAAACTTTTGAGCTAAAAATATCGAAATTTTTGTGAAAAAAAATAAGATTTCTAAAAAAAAATACTTCAAAAATCTCAGAACATGAAAATATATAACCAAATGTCGATTTTATTAATAATAATAATAATAATAATAATAATAATAATAATAATAATAATAATAATTAATAATTATAATTAATAATAATATATTATTATATATTATTATATATTATTATTATTATTATTATTATTATTATTATTATTAATATTATTATATAATTATTAAAATAATAATTATTTACATATATATTATTTAATAATATTATAATAATATATATTAATATAATATATTATAATATATATATTATAATAAATAATAATAATAGTAATAATAATAATAATAATAATAATAATAATAATAATAATAATAATAATAATAATAATAATAATAATAATAATATTTATTTCTACAAGAATATATTCTAGGTATACTGACATCAATGATATACTACTGTATAGAAAGGTCCTTGTATTGCAGAGTATTTCAGACAAATTAGATCAATTTTGTGCCCAGGATGCGACCCACACCAGTCGACTAACACCCAGGTACCTATAATAGGCAGAGGGTAAGGTGAATTTCTGCCCAGAAAGAGAGGCTTTAAGACTCTGAAAATATCTTCAGTCCTCTACCTGTGATACTTAGCCAGTCTCACAATATTTTCAATGATTTTATTTTTTGCTGATAAATGGTTCAGTGAACCGATAAGTTGATAAATTAGATACATGTGCAACACTTGAGTGGTTTTGCTGTCGAAACGTTTCGCCACACAGTGGTTTCATCAGTCCATTACAAAGAAGAATGGTGAATATCAGAAGGAGTTTGAGGGATCAGTCCCTCAGCCTGAAGTCGATGTAATAAGTCCATCAATTTTGATGGACTTATTACACAGGCACTGGAAGTTTGAAGCCGATCGAGTGGAGCCTTCACGAGTTATGAGCGAATTAAAAATGATAAGTTTGAGGAATTAAGAATAAAAGAATGAAAAGGCAGACACTTCAGAGGAAGTGAATAATAGCAACACTAATAAAGACAAAGAATAGAAGTAAAAGATTAGGAGAATGAGGAGGAGGACAATGAGGATGAAGGGGAGGAAGAAGATGAAAGGAGAGGAGAAGAAGGAAGAGGAGAAGAAGGACGAGAAGAAAAAGGAGGAGAAGAAAGAGGACGAGAAGAAAATGTAGGAGGAAGAGGAGAAGATGAAGGAGAAGTAACAATTATAATTATTATTATTATCATGGGGGAGCGCTAAACCCATAGGATTATACACCAGGAGAAGTAACAATAAGAAGCAAAAGTATCAGCAGGAGGAGAAGAAGAAGAAGAAGAAATAATTCAGTGTTAACTCACAAAAGACGTGGAGGTGGGCCTTGCGTACCACCTTGCGGAACTTGGGATGTTCGCCGATGACCTCACAGAGATACTCTCCTGAGGTGGTGGTCGACACTCTCTGTAACACCACCTCCCTCTCCGTCGACACCCAACACTGTGTGGGAGACACAGTAACACTGCAAGACTGAGCGACAGTACACATGCACATTCGGAATTTATTCTTGGGTACTTTGAAAGTCGGGTATATCTCATTGGGTACTATACCCTAGTGTAGTCTAAAGGTTTCAAACCCGACAAAACCCCCCATCAGCTTCGGAATGGCCGAAGAATACGTTATATTCACGTCAAGGAGAACACGTCACACACTCACGTCAAGAGAACGTCACATATCAACAAAAAGCACGTCACACGTCAACGAGAACACGTCACACACTCACGTCAAGAACAAATCACATGTCATCAAAAAGCACGTCACACGTTAATGGCAACACGTCACACATTCACATCAAGAGCACGTCATAAATAAACAAAAAAACACGTCACACGTCAACGAGAACATGCCAAACTCACGTCAAGGTTGACGCCGTCTACGGGATAGGTGTTGTGACAGCGGTCATCAGCTGTCTGAGAGGACAGGCCGGGTTGGTGACGGTAGAACTCCCTGCCATCCTTGTACCATTTCAGAGTGTACAAGGAAGAGCCGCCCTCATCCTCGTAGTCACAGCGTAGATGTACCTCGTCATCTACCAGGGCCTCAGCTGGTACTTCCAGCCTGGTAATGCGCACCCCACCAACACCACCTGTACAGTAATAATAATAATAATAGTAATAAATAATTAATAATAATAATAATAAATAATAATAATTATTATTATTATTATAATTATTATTATTATCCAAGCTGTCACTCACGTAGAAAGGGAGAAAGGTAGACACATAGGCAGGCAGACAGGCTGACGGGAAGGTAGGCTGACTTCCAAGCAGAGAGAGGAAGAGATACGTATCAGTATCATAATAATGATAATAATAATAATAATAATAATTATAATAATATTTATTATAATATTATTATTATTATTATTATTATTATTATTATTATTATTATTATTATTATTATTATTATTATTATTATTATTATTATTATTATTATTATTAATGTATTAGACGTTTCGCCCACAGGCTTTAAACGTGTTCTTATAATATTAAACGTGTTGCACACGTGTTTTAACGTCCTAGTATCGAGTGTTTGGTTTTAGGAAATGCCTAGCATAGCCAGTAGGTCTTTAGCAATGCTCCCTCCGTTCTTATATTGTAATTCATGGACACGGAGCGAATCGAGCGCCAGAAGACTAACCACCTTTTATCAGGGCTGAGGGACTGACCCCCTTCTATCAACACTGAGTGGATTTATCTCCTCAAAATTACCTTTCCACCTCTTCGACTCTCTATGGTATTATAATCACAACGTGAAGTCTGGCCTTCAGGCGGAACACGTCAACAATAAAATAACGTTAGCTTTTTTCACGTAACTTACTCCGAAAAGATTTGTCTTTTAGACTGTGTCTCTGGACCAGAACTTCCAGAATGTCGGCATCGAATTCAGATTGTACTTTTTGAAGGATCCGCTTTGTCAAAGAGAGTTTTATAGCTTTTACCCTCCGTCAACACTTTTTTTTGAGTGAGAGTTGTCAGATTTCAGGAGGTGTGAAGGCCAGATGAAAGGCGGAGAAAAACGTTGTGGAGTTCAGGGTGTAAGATAAGGAGATTAAAAATGTGTAGAGGGTTGTAGAGCTGTGTATGGAGAGGAACTGTACATTTGAAAGAGAGAGAAAGGCTAAGTACAAAATAATTGATATAAAGTCTATGGTGTTAATGCATAGGGTTTCACTACGTAACACTCAAAGTGTATACGTACTAATATATACATATACAGATGCAAAACAACCACTGTGAAAGAATAGTGAAATTCCAAGCGCTTTCGTGACTTCTCACATTATCTAGGAACTACATATACATACATAATTATAAATACATATACACACACACACACACATATATATATACACACATACACACATACACACATATGTAAATGGTCCAAGTCGGACCGAAACGTCTTCGTAAGCTTCTATATGCGGTTTATATATATATATATATATATATATATATATTATAATATATATATATATATATATAATATATATATATATATATATATATATATATATATATATATAATATAATATATATATATACGTATATATATATATATATATATATATATATATAATATATATATATATATATATATATATATATATATATATACTTTATAAATATAGATACATTAACTGTAGCACCATCACCAGCACATTCTCCTGTAGCAGCAACACCACATTCATAAATCCACTAGAGGAAACACCTAACTGAACACTGATTACATTTCACGACCAAACCAAACTCACACAACCGCCCCTGGAAAGTATTGCATTAATCCCAGAACAGTGTTACCCCCCCAAAAAAATTCCCATTTCCCAGGACCGGTCGAAGCCAACCCAATCACACTAGAATTTCAGGAGCGACATCTCTCCCTGGCAGGCTGTTCCCTCCACACTCCCCATTATAGTTATCTGATTTTTATTGGCTTCCGCCTACCAACTGGTCTCTCTCTCTCTCCTCTCTCTCTCTCTCTCTCTCCCCCCAAACTACCTTGTCCTCCTAACTCCAACGATGGTGGGGAGAAATACCCCAGTGCCAACGATCGTTCTGGGGAGGAAACACGTTACAGAGTGGTAGCCCGGGGAGCACATCATGAGAGGAGTGAGAGAATTAAGTCCCTGCTGGGCGAAACGTCTTCCCAGTAAAATGACATAAACTGCATAGTGTGTCTTATTAACATTGACTGATAAAGAGAGAGAGAAAGACTAAGAAACACATCACAGCTCTCTCCAACACCTCAAACTCCCCGAAACTCACAAACTCACTCCTCATTACAACAAAACACACCCCCGCCTCCCCCACACACAACGAGGAGGAAGTGATGAAGGTGATAAAACACTAGTTAATCCTCTCCCCCCTCATTACTCCCGATCAATGTATGTAATGTGTGTTCTGTATTGGTTGGCCATTACAGTAACTCACAGGAGGTGACTGGACCAACATAACTCCTACAGGCTGGTACAGGACTCTACGCTATTTTCTGTTATTGTGTTGCCAGGGGTAAACTATGATATTTTGGCTAGGCATTGGTTACCAAAAAAAGTGAGGGGCCAAATGGATACATATATAACGGAAAATGGAGAGGGGGGGGAATATTGATAAAGACTGTGAAAAGAGGAGAGAGAGAGAGAGAGAGAGAGAGAGAGAGAGAGAGAGAGAGAGAGAGAGAGAGAGAGAGAGATGGTAATGCTGGTTCAGTAGTAAGGATGAATGGGAGGGTGTTGGCACCTGGAGAAGAAGTTGATATCTTTGGGGTGAAATTTGACTCCAAACTAACCATGAAGAACCATGTTGTAAATCTTGCAAACAAGACAGCCAGGAAGCTTACAGCACTTCGCCGTATCTCGTATCTGCTTGACAGTAGGGGTTGCAAGATTCTGTACGAGGCACAAGTACGCTCACACCTTGAGTATGCTCACTTTCTTGGTTTGCCTCACTCCCCCCTCCTCTCATCTGCGACTGCTTGACAAAGTAGAGAACAGAGCAAGACGTCTCATCTCTCGCCTGGACCCATCCTGGATTGATCTGTCATTTCAGTAGAGCCTTCAACACAGGAGGGATGTGGGTGGCCTTACTGTTATGTACAAGGCCAATATTGTCAAAGTACCACACTTGGATTCACTTCGAGGACAGCGTGAAACAAGCTTTTATGCCACAAGACGGGCAGAAAGCAGCAACTTCACTCTGGCTGTACCCTTCTCCAGAACATCACTCCATCTGAAATCATATATACCCAGGATGACTGGAGTATGGAACACATTCGTAAAGCATAATGATGTCAACGAGATAAAATCAGTTGATCAAATGAAAATGCTGGCCCACAGATGACTCCAACTTCATCCTGTTCCCTACTTGTATGTCTCATAACAATAAAAATGCTTTCAGATGAGATGATGTAGGTAACAGCTCTTAGCTTGCCAATAAAGTTAGGAATCTTAACCTAACCTTGTCAAACCTTGTGTAAAAAGAAAGAGAGAGAGACACACACACACACACACACACACAGAGAGAGAGAGAGAGAGAGAGAGAGAGAGAGAGAGAGAGAGAGAGAGAGAGAGAGAGAGAGAGAGAGAAACAGAGAGAGAGAGAGAACTACCCACTAACTTAGGCATCAGTATTTCTTCTGTTTGCCTCAGTTTGCCATTATATCTGCACTATATAAATGTCATAAATTACTCAAAACGTCTTGTTATTGTTACTCCCATCTGGCACTTGTTTAATTAAGGTCAAAAAACAGAACTATTGTAACTTCTGGCTCTTGTTTAATCAAGGTCAAGAAACAGGACTGTTGTCACTCCCTCTCAACTATTGTTTAATTAAGATCATGAGTTACTTAACAGTGGCTATGTCTGTTTTCCAAGAGCATAATTGTGACGCTTAATAAAGACATATAACAGAAGATTTTTACCGGGGGCTGTGTCGACCATTATCAAGTTGATCAGTGTGTTGTTAAAATCTCTACATAGAGCGGAACGTTGTCACGGTAACAGCTTGTTTCGCTCCAGTGTCTTTTACCGTAGGAAGTGCACTGTCCCGTGTCACTGTTCCTTCCTAGCACTTCAGTAAGTTAGTCACATTATGGTTCATTGTCACATTAGTGGTTCACTGCCTTAACAGTGCAGATTTTGGACTTAATAATCATCGTAAAACAAACTAAAACTTTCCGTAGCAAATTACAATGATTCGAAAACTACGTCTGGCGATTTTTACAGTGATGATACGTTAATGTACAGGTGTGGTTCTCACTGCCTTGCTAACCATGTCCTCGTACTCACGGTACTCATATGGCTGGGTAGGCGCTCTGTCCTCTCCTCTAATTTCGTTTTCATTGCTATTCGTAGTTACTTAATATCATCACTACTAAACAGGCGAAATACATAACAGAAGTGTCTCCTTCTTGGAATCTCTGTGAGTCTGCTGTATCGATATAATGATCTAAGGTGGATGGTTTTGTAGTGATGAATGTTGTTAAGTGCTGATACAAGTTGGTTCATCCTTACAGTGTGTATTTTTTCCCCTGGATCATTTGGTAACGGGGCTAGTTGACATTGTAAGGGACCGAGGGTCGGTTCCCTGACTAGTGGCAAATTTAGGCATGTCTTCTTACACCTGTTGCCCCTGGGTTACCTAGCAGTAAATAGGTGTCTGGGTGTTTGGCGACTGGTGTGGGTCGCATCTTGGGTGAGAGGATCAAAGAACAGCAAAAGGAATAGGTCAGTCGGTTTGATAATATAGTTTTATTGGGTTATCCTGAGCTAATAATCCTCCGGGTTAATAATTCCTTGGGTAGCATTACAATCCTTGCGTAATATTGATAATGGGTTGGGTGAATATTTTTGTTAGTGGGTTTGTGTCTGGCAAGGACCTGCCAAGTATGGACAAGTAGGCCTGTTACAGTGTTCCTCTTTTCAAAAGTTCTTATGTTTGCTTGTGCTAGTAACCTTCACAGTGGCTATAAACGACATCATCAGTATTCCAAAAGAGTTTACCAGTTGCAAAGTTCTAATTAGTTCATTCGAGGATGCCTGGAATTTCTTAAGCATGAATATTACCCTTTCTCAGGAGGATCCATAACACAGAG